CCATGGGTAGGATGACACCTGCGCCCTTTTTAATATATTCCAATCATCCTTGAGTAGCTTTAGCGTGTCTGTGACCTAGTGGTTCCCGAAGTCATTCTCATCTTTGGGCAACTGGTTTCCCCACTTTGCTCAACCTTCATGTGTATTTTATTCTAATGATATGTAATTCACCCGACTGCATATTTCTCAATGCATCCCATGGAAACTAACTCTATAATGGGATTAATTACAGTCATTGGTAAGAGCAGTACTATGTGGAAACTAGGTCATGAAGTATATTCTTATGATTTGTGGGGAAGGGTGTAAAATCAGTGAGTTGTGAAAATAAGTGCAAAAAGTAGTGAATTCTGGGGCTGGAGAGTTGGCTCAGTGATTAAGAACACTGACTGTACTTGCAGAAGAGCCGGGTTTGAATCCCAGCATGCACATGGCAGCTAACAGCTATCTGTAACTCCAGTTTCAGGGGATCCAAAGGCCTCTTCTGTCCTCAGCGGGCATTGCACGACACAGGTGCCCTTATCTACATGCAGGCAATATCTGCATACTCAGAAAATAAAATTAATACATAAAATATCTTGGAAAATAGTGAATTCTGAATAAAATCCATCCTGGAGTTAACATTATTTTTCAGTACAATTTACCGGCTTTAGAACATATACTGTATATGTAAGATGTTGTTAATGTGAAAACCTGGGTCAAGTGTACATAAAATCTCATAATATTATTCTTGCCATTTCTTATACTATTCTTAAGGGAAAGTTGTAATAATTTTAAAGAATTGAATAACAAAACATAGTAAAATAATAAGGCGCTCCAAAATAGAAGTGTACAAATCTGTTTTTTGTGGACTCCTAATGAACTTCTTCAGTTTTGCTTGGGCCTAGTGATGCATGTCAGCTATCAGTATGCTACAGTGGGAGAGAGAGATGGTGGGGATTTCAAATCTAGTCCTTCAACCTGAAGGTTTTCAGCCTGGTTGGTATCATCCTGTTTTCAGATGTGACATTCCAGCCCATGCCTGCCCTGACATACCGCACCACAGGGGGCATTCTGGATTTCTATGTGTTCCTGGGTCCAACTCCAGAGATTGTCACTCAACAGTACACAGAGGTAGGAAAGAATTCATTGGATTATCAACTGTGTGTGTGAGTTTGTGTGTGTGTGTGTGTGTGTGTGTGTGT